TAATGGATCTTGACACACAGACATTTTAACGGCCCTATCTATTATTACGTTAACTTAGAATTTTGATTTTTTCATAGCCTCCAGGTAACGCAGATCTGAGTATATATATGGTTTAAATTTTAACGAGATACCTCCACATGTTCTCAAGATAAAGGGTCTTGACAGACAGATGGACAATAAAGTGAAAAGAATTCAGGTTTTTCTTTATTTGGTAGGGATTCCTAAAAATATATTTCACTTGTGTTCCCTTTAAAGTCCGTTCAGCGTTATAAAATACAAGCAAGTTTACATTCTTTGAGTTCGTATTCTTTATATTAATTATAGAGATTGTGAAAATCATAGGTGAAAATCCACTTTATATTCGACAAAAGTTGTATAGGTAGTTTTGCAATAAATAAACTTAAAAAAATCTCAAACCCACATACATACAAATATAAATAATTTATTTACAACAACATATAAAGTAATAAAGGTTCAAATAATAATGGATTGATACTGCAAACAATCCGGAAAATTATTTTTGTTTATGGCCGGTTCTGAGTATATTTTGTTGCTCATATTTCTGCGCACAGTACTCGCTTAATACACGGAGTTTTAAAAGTCTTGAAAATGATATTTAACGTAAAAAAAATAATAGAAGTAAAAAAAAAATTTAGGTCTGTAGTCGTGCATACAAAGGGGTTTTTACCTGACTTGACTCATTAAAACAATTGGAATAACGGTTATGTTACTTACAAATAAACTTTGTAAACTCCCCTATTATAAGACCACTGCCGTCTTAGAAAATCACATTATCATGACGAGACGCTTTTGCCTCGTACATCAATCAATGCTCTAAGCTTTTTATACAAGTGGGCGTACACGCGTATTAAAGAACTTATTAGTTCTGTCACATCTTATCATTATTGTTATCACACGAATAAATATTCTGTCACTTAGTTTTGGCACTAATCGCTATTAGACTTAAAGTCGACAGTCGAACGAGTTACTTTTGAACCTGCCTGTACAATAGCATTATCATGTGCTTGTTTAATATTACCATTTAAATGCTGGCGCTTCTGTGAACCTTTTTTGGCAGATTATTAAAATATTTTGACATAGTTTTGCCCATTATTATAAAAAAGGTACTGCAATAAATACTCTGTTTATTCTTAATTACCTATTAATCTATCGTAATTTATGGGTATATTAGTAGTAGTAACGTATATGGACCCTTTGATTTATCAATGTAATTTTAGAAATTACATACATATTTTGGTTTTGGACTTTCTCCATCAGCAACCCACTGATCTTATTCAAATTGTTTATTACAGACAACAAAATGGTCCATCAAATCGTTAGTAACAATATTTAACTTAAATGCTATGTTATTAATAAAGTCTGAATTTTTAAATCACAACTAAAAATGTAATGCGACATGATTTACGGCGATGTTCTAAAAGTTGAACTTAAAAAATAACATATGTAAATGTATGGCGTTCTTTTTTTTGTGTATTACCTTCATAACACAATATTTACATACAGTTTAATGTTATCTACAAACACACAAATATTTCAAAATGCTTGTCCTCATGTCTTCTCATCTCGCATACCGTTTTTTTTTCACGAGTGCAGCATATAAATGCGAGTGATCAAAGAACGCAATAAATATAAAAAAAGTTATCCCTGTTCATCTTGGTGACATTTCAAGGTGAACTAACGACAGTAAATATGTTGTATATCGTATTACTTCATCACACTAATACTATAGAGGTTTGAGAAAGTTTGAGCGATTTTAATAAAATTTAGTATGGAGTTAGCTGCCATCCTGGTTTAACACATAGGCTACTTTTTACTCCGGGAAAATAACCCTAATAAACCGCGGGTAACACCGCGGGGCACAGCTAGTCTGCAATAAATCCACCAGCACTGCACTTTGATTCTGCATACAATCGCACAGTCGCAGTTCTATTGTTCGATCATTTATCAAATACTAGAGGTCGCCCCCGACTTGGCACGCTTTAACTTTAGCTTTTGCGAATCCCACAAGAACCTGATTCTTTCCGCGATGAAATGTATCTTGTTTCTATCTAGTAGGGCGATTCTGCTATATAAAATCTTAAGCATTACTTTGATATACATTACGCCATTACACGGCAAAATGTCGCTATGTCTGTGGAAGCAGCCAGTATTAGATATTTCACATTTGTCAGAAATCCGAATAAATGAGATCGTAAGTGAGATTGCACCTATTAGAATACCAATGCAGGTAATAAACTGTCCGTGTGAAAATTTCATCGAAATCCGGTCAGCCGTTTTTGTGGGATTGAGTAACAAACATACAAAATTTCACATTTATAAAATGCCGATCATCGAAACTGGTGGTGAAAGATGATGAGAATATACTTATTACTTACTAGCGGCCGCCCGCGACTTCGTACGCGCGGAGTTTGAAATAAAGGTTCACTGCTCGTTCCCCGTAAGTGATAGCGTGATAATTTATGTAGCCTATATTTTAACCCGACTTCTTAATGATATTCGTACCAAATTTGAAGTGAATCCATGCAGTACTTTTCGAGTTTATCCCGGACATACATACAGACAAACAGACAAAAATTTCTAAAAACTATATTTTTGGCTTCGGTATCGATTGCAGATCACACCCCAAGTATTCTTTTAAAAAAATATTCAATGTACAGTTTTGACTTTCCTACCATTTTATTATATATATAGATTTTAAAATGGCGCCCTTTTGGATTCAAAGCTTGGGTCCCTTAGGATTTCAAATGAACGAATGATAAATTGCTCTTTGTTCTTCTAGAACCAGAGGTAAACTCAGTGGAGTCAACCATCCTTACTCAGTCTTTAACAGTCAACTCTCAGAATACAGAACAAATAGTTGTGTATAACGCATTCGGCTGCAATCGCTGAAGTTAAGTAACTTTCGCAGTGGTCTGTCATCGGATGGATGACCAATAATTATATATCTAGAGCTCCTACGTGCTTCGCTTTCGATCAGTACAATCAATTTAACGGTCTGTTTTTTTCACATTAAGCGGGTTCGATGCCCATTTCAGACGATTATTTAACATTCTTTGAATGGAGTTTGTATAGGGTTAACTTCTCTCATTTTAAAACGATTACTTATTAATAGACAATACCTACTAGGTAATCGATTAAATAAATAAATATATACATAAAACAAATGATTTAATAATGTTATTGCTTTTGCTGAATATTGGTGTTAAGGATATCTAGCTATCTAATATGTACTTGACATTTTATTAAATAATAAATAAAATATAAGCAGCAGGATGCATTCAAGGCTAGTTGGTAGATGCATTCGACGTAAACACGAATCATATTAGTTCTAATATATACATTTCTTAAGATTCCGTGTTAAGAAAAATGACAATGAAATCCAATGTTAAGCCTCAGAAATACGCTCGTCCATCTATCTGTCACATAATTTCTATAGCTGCTTTAAGTAACGGGACTTTTTGGACAATTTTTTGCTCAACCTAGTTTTAAAACTTGTCCAATGCCACGGAACTTCTTCGTGTGTGAGCTTGATATGTACTTAACTCCTGTAGTCCTGACAAGGAACCCTTATAGTTTCGTCATGTTCGTCTGTCTGTCCGACCGCGATTTTGCTTGAAGACTGTTAGCACTAGTGAGCTGTAACCTTGTGGAGATATGTATATCAACCATGCCGACAAATGGTAGAAAAAAGAACTGAAATATTATATTTTAGGGTAGCTCCCCTACATGTAACGATTTTATAATTTTTCATTGTCTTAAAATCTTTATCTTAAAATATATTTTTCCTTTAAATTTACTTCAGTGTGCCTATGTTCCTATGACTATTTTTCGATTTAGATATCCGGTTGTTGAAATATTTAACTTTAAAGTGCTAATTTTTATTCGTGGGGGGGGGGGGTCTCTAAAAGCTGAACTATTGGCTTGAAAACCTGAAATAAAATCATGATAATAGTGCTTTACATGAACTTTAAAGGAAAATTATAACGGTTAAAATAAATTAATAGAAAATTTCTGACCGAATAAAAATTCCTTCGAAGAAAACATTAAAATTGACTTAGACGAAGTAATTAATTAAAATATAGACTTCAAAATATAGTGGCGACGAGTAACTACGGAACCATACACTGCGCGTGGCACGACACGCACTTGGCCGGCTTTTTTTATTTAATAACAAAAATATCTAAATGTCTTCGCTTTATCTGAAGTGGAAACGAAGACGCTAAAACGATTGGTTAGTGAAATATATACTTCTTATTTCCGTTTCTGACAAAAATCTATTCCAGTTTGACCTATTTAAACGAAAATTAACACATCAATTTATTTTTATGTTATGTTTAACTATGCATGTTAATACCATCCATTTCACTATGATCATAATTTACTCTTCCTCCGTGCAAAAGCGCCGACACGTTGCGCGTCAAAATATAATTTTAAACAATCAACAACACGTCTAGCGTCACGGGAGACAAGTTAAAGTGGCTGCTACAGCTTAGTTATTAAGGTCGTATTTGTATACAAAGCCTCAGTTTAAGTTGCCGGTTAACAGTAGCAGTCGTAGTTTTGTTTCCCGCACGTGTGGCAGTTGTTTGTACGACTTCGGACGCGACTCACGCGCACGCAGCGCGCCCACAACACACGCTACGTTCCCGGTCGTGTCATCAAAGGGTGCCCATTCACATGCACAACAATTACACATTACGAAATTAACTCTCAAAAACTAATTCAGCCAAAATATGGCGCAATAGAATGATGCAACTTCGCCGCGAACCCTTCTAACCCAGTTCTTCTCCACTAACATAACAGTGCCGCACTGTGTCGATAAAATAAATGCAATGCCCCTTTGTGCCGCTATTCACCCCGCGCCTTGCACCGAATCCGTCCAATCGTAGGAGGGCGAGGGGTACCGCCGAGTGTCCGCAAGCAAATCGCGGCTCGTATACGATTTCACTGCGACGGAATACGCCGATCACGCCCGACAGGAGCCGAGGCGCGCATCGACAACCCCCAGTGAGGAGCCAGCCCCCGACATGGCGACTATGGTGGCTAGCGCGCCACCCAACCCGGTCACGAAAAAACCGTCCATTAAGAAGTACAGGGCGCCAACGCCGCCTCACAACACAAACAACGAAGACGAAAAAGACAAAGAGAACAACGTGGTGCAAAATGACGCCAATGATAACGGCGCGAGTGATTGTATACAAACAAAACCCGTACCGGCTGAGAAGCCGGTCATTGAAAAGGGCTCCCCCGTAATAAAAAAATTGGCGCCGAAACTGAACGGCAACGTTGATAGGAGCTCGGTTCTGTCTAAAGCTGCGATGTTCGAAGCGGGCAGCCCGAGGGCCAAGGATCCGGCCGAGATGTCATTGAGGGAACGCAAGGCCCTATTCGAAAAAAACAAGGGAGCAGCGATTATTCCAAAGGCACCCTTCGGAATGGCACCCTCCGTCAAGACACTGCACGGTGACAATAAAGGTAAGCTTTGTTTACTTTTTATAGTTTTAGTGCCGACTGTTTTGGTTCTTTTATTTCGGACATTTTATAATAACAATAAGAAGTGTTTGTTCGTACATGGATAAAATTTCATTGTTCAAAGTGTCAGGTTTATAATTTTATCAAAACTCAGTTTTCGTTGTAAATACGAATGACTCATTATCATAATATGGTATACAGATGCTAATTACGCTGAATTTGAAACCACAATTTTCGTGGACCTGGTTATTTCAACGGAAGCTTCCCAATATTCCAGCGAACATATCGAAAACATTAACCTAATTAAAAGATTATTTGGTAAAATCATAAAGGGTGATTACGAATTTATTTGAAAATCACAAAAACTTAATAGATATCCAAAACTGCATTAACAATTACTTTCATATGTAAGCATTATCCAGAGTTAATAGATGTCTTGTTAAATCTAAAAACTGAGGGTCTGTCCCGCATCAAATTAAAGTATGTTTAATTTTACTTCCACTTTCTTTGTGACAGAAATAGAATAGCATTAACTACGTCACCTTGAAAAACATCAAATTTATTATTAAAATATTGCCAACAAAGTGATGCTTGCGTTGATTGTTGTTGGGAATTTGGGATCTACAATATCTTATTGGGAGTCTTTGCAAATTGACTGATGTTTAGTTATACTTTTGAATTATGTAACCAACTAGATAATTGAAATACTTTAAATTTGCCGTTAAAAATTCTCTCTTCCGTTCCCCTTTGCTGAAAGTAGGTTAAAGTTGAAACGCTCGGCGCCGGTCATTCATTCTTTTTCGTCGGCGCAACTTAAATCGACTCCACTATCCGTGAATTCGATTCAATTTCCTGTTTTTATTTTTCACCTTTTTATATTATAGTGAGTCGGCTCGTTTTTGTCGAGAAACAATTTATTTGTACAGTCAAATAAGCTCTCTTTTAAGTGTTGACCATGTTGATTATCTTTTTGGCAAGTGATTAAAATGTTTGCTTCACTGCTATCGCAGCGTTGCAGCCATTATTTCTGAAATACCCAAGGCTCATTTTGAATAAGGAAAACGTGAGCTAAAATCTAAATATTTATTCAGATAAAAATCCTGTTTTCTTGTCTTCCAGTAAGTGTTATTTTTCCTCTTACAACTTAAACGGTATCTGTTTTCCTTACGGAAAATTTAACCGAAACTACTAAGTAGTAGTTAATAATAAAGGTGTTATCGGAATAATAGTTATAACAAAAGCACGGGAATCATCTGTCATGATCAGCTGTCGCGCGCCATAACTGCAGATAAAATCTTATGTACCTACTGCATATTTATAATATTATGCATTTGCCCCAATGAAACCTCATCTTATCATTTTAGTTTTATTATTTTTTAAATAATGAATAATCATCAAATCATACACGAATGAAATGGAAAGAATTTGAAGAAATTTTTTTGGGTAATGAACATTCTATCAGTAGATTATAGAATTAGAAAATAGACCAACATATTTGTCTCGTTGTCTTGCTTCCTTTAGTTCAAATGCAGCTTTGTTATGAAAATATTTATCTGCATTAGGTTAGTGGTGTTGACACGAACAATTACAAACATTTGTAATTATTGATGTTTGAAACTTAATGTTTTGCCTTTCTTGACTAAAGACTAAACATTGGCCTGCTCTTGAAGGTACTAAGACCTTTCACAATTTTTGTTATCGTAAGTTCAGTCGAGTCAATTGCTAGTAAGCCTACCTGTTTAAAATTCGAAACGTTAGGCCTCCAGTCACAGATATTATTTCAGTACCTGTTAAAAACCGAGAGTTCTTATTTTGAAAAATCACCTGTTTCATACATTTCGATCGATTAGCTGATGCACTTTTGTATGAAACAGCAGGTTTTTGTTGGTGTTTTAAAATTAACCCTGTATAGACCGAGGTTCCAAGGCCCCGTTCGATTGGTCACAAGTCATATTGTATGTCTGTTAATTTATATTTGAAATTTTATTTTGTCTAAATAAAGATATTGTTTATCAGAGGTTAGTGCGTGCCCGCATTCGAAATACGCTGGTTCGAGTCCAGCCTGATGTCTTGGACCAGTTAAATACGGTATCTATTTGAGACCCTTTTTAAAAAGGTAAGATTTTATATGAGGTATCATTATTCTAATTAGATGAATTAAAACGGTTGCTATTTAGTGATTACCACAATCAGGTGGACATAAGAGCCCATAATTAGTAAACGAATTACAACAGCTCTTTAAATAACAATTGATAGGTATGCTGCGCCGTTGTCGACTCACAAAAACAAAACACAATAATAATCTAATAAATTTGCATAGTTCGATTCGCCGTTACGAACTCATACATAATTAATGTGTCTGTACGGCGCGGCGTCTGCAAAAATATAGGACGACAGTGATGAGTTGGATTTACTGCACTAGTGGTTCCGTCGCCTTTTAGTCTGCGCAGACTAAACTCTCTGAATCGTGAATAAATGTCCCGCGAAGACTTGTCACGGACTCGACGCACACGATGATGAGCGAACATATGTCGCCCGAAAATTTAGAAAAGCGCATGCTATTAAAGTAATTATTCTCAGATCACGTTGTGTTGCTAATTAACATGAAGTTTAAGAAAAGGAGAAGATGTTTTAAGGGTGGATACTGGGTCCATCTCTCTTGAATCAGATCGAGCGCGCAACGCGGTCTAAAGTACGTTGTGTGCTGTGCAGCGCCTAGTCACATGAGTTAAATTTGTTTGGAGACTCCTGCGTACTTCTGTCCTATCCGGTCTCTCGGTGTCCTCGGTCGTCCGGTGGACTTTTTGTACAATCAACTCTGCCTAACGCAGTCCACTGCTGGACATAGGCCTCTCCCAATTTGCGCCACAACCCCCCGGTTCTCTGCCTTCCGTTTCCGACTTTCTGACTTTTTTTTTGCGCGGGGACTTGAATTCCTTGTGTGCATTATTAGGTTTTCATCTGGTAAGTCATCCATCATTCGCCTTTTCACGCAAATAAATAAAACAGTTATGCACAAAGCTTAACTTTGTTCGACAGGGTCATGCAGAACAGACATTTTAGCATTATTTGCAAGTCGGCCAGACGAGGATGACTAGTGTGGTAGGTAAAATTGGTACCTAACCAGCTATTTTCTCGTCTGGTCGTCTCCACTTTGCATGTAGGATGGAATTATTTGCGTACCTAAATTAAGGGGGGGAACTACCTCTCAACTCTTACAGATGACCGTATCCAAAACACTATTTTGTAGTATCGATATTTTCCTGCAGTGAGTAATGTTGTCATATTTACGTTAGGAGGAGTCTCAGGGTTTTGTTAGGCAAAGTGAGGGTGTTGCCTCTGCTATATCATTGCAACTAGAGAACTCACTAGATATCGGGTGGATTTTGATACGCTTTCCTTAAAAAAATAGCAGATATTTCAAATTGATCAGGCACTCTGTCTGGTAAAGAGGGCTTTGGTTGTATTTGCTATTGGGAATTTAGAAGTTGAATCTTTCTCCGCGTCTAACCTCCAGTTGAACTTAATATTATTATGCCGGCACTTCACTTGGTTATTCGTGTTTGCTATTTGTAAACATTGCTTGTAATTCCTTGTAGAACATTATAAGGACAGACTGATGTCAAGTTTACAAATAGTAAGCTCCTGCTTAGCCATAACCAAGTGAAGTGCCGGCATTATGTACACCCTCCTCTGCAAAACTTATGTAATATACCGCAGCTACGAAAATAACCTTCATGTAAAAAAATGAGTTACTATTTAAATGGTCGCATTGTAATACTGGTTGGTTACGAGATTTTAAAACAGATACGAGAGGGACTCCAAAAATATTCATAAAGCCTAGAACTGGATTTAGAAGCTGCGAAGCTAAATAATAATGTGTCTTGAAGAAAAAACATTAGACGCTAACACGTAAGGTTTAAAATCGTTTGACCGGATTTGGCCCGATCTAGGATCGAGCGTTTCTTAGGTTTTTGTCGAGATGACTAGCGAGTCTGCTGTCGTGACTTGCGGGCAACATTCTCTATTTGACCTTATAGTCGACGCATTATAGTATCTATCTACTTATACTTAAAGAAAGGTCAACACTTATTTTTATATTCTGAGACATCTAGCATCGAGTTCCTCAATGTTAGCAACTTTACATTGCTAACTTTGAAGTACCCGATTCAATTTCCACCCGGAGTAATAGAAAAAGGGATTTGTATTTTGTACACTGATTCTCTATTTTGTTGATGCTATAGTGAAATAAATAGATTTCAATTAAATTTTTGGTGGGTAATTTGAAAAATATATTTTAACATGTTGTTTAAAGCAATTGGAAAGTATTTGCAATAAATTTATTTCACCTTCACCAGCTCTTCACCATATCTTCCGGGCTTGGTAAAGGGTGTTATGTTTTAACCCTCTTCAAACAATGGAGGAGAAGGTTATATGTATGATTTTCCTTAATAAGATTACTTACTTCAGTAATAATTCTCAAATTTCTTCACACACTTTCCTACAGATTTCTTCATATTTAGGACAATATTTTGGTAGGTAAAGCTCTTCAAAATCCTTTGCAAAAAATAAATGTGCATAGGCGTCCGTACAAGTCTTATCATCCCAGTCGTTAAAACACATAGATAACCGTTAGTGCCATCACGCGGGCACGATTGTATTGTATACCACAACTGCTGTGATTAAAACACAACTGTGTTACCTGGTTGGTATGATAATCGCAAAACATACATTGTATTAGTTTGTATTAGTTAGTGGCACAGTTCTTTTAACACGTCGCTTTGACATAGTTTTGACAATCCTTATGAAGATATTTCGGCCGAATGGTTAACTCTGTGTGTGTTTAAATTGAGTTGTTTACTGTTTCTTTGCTTTTTAGGGCAGTGACTGTGTTTACTGAGCCCAAAAAAATATTACTGAAGTATAATATCAGCGTCAATGTCAAATGATTTTAATACAAATTGATATTATAATACAACGATGTACAATTTGGTATTGGGAAA